ATGATTGCCTATCGGCGCCCGTCATTGACTGTTGGCTCAGCAATCCATTTGGGCTGTCACTCAAATCAGATACGTTTCTTATCTGGCATAGCCAGTTTGAGCATTTTCTGCCGGGCGTCTCCGAAAGCAATCTATTCAGAGCCGTCACTCAGATCAAGGCCGGAGCTAATCTGGCATGCCTCAGCCAACACTTCGCTCTGCCAAACACCTGTCGTGTCCAGGAAATCTTCTCACAAGGCTATGCGGGACTGGAAACGCTCTTGGTCAGCTCGCTGACGCTTAGTCATCCCAAACACCGCAGTAAGGACGCCTTTGTTTACACCGTATCGTCTCAGTTTACTCCGCATGCTATTCGCTGTAAGTTCCACAATTCTGCTCTTAAGCCTATGTTATTTCTTTCGTTTGAAAGGATTGCATTATTAAAAGCATTTTTTCCATATTCCTCGAACCACCAGAACTCTTATACCTCCAACGAACCTTGAACAACCAATATTTGCTACTTTTGCGCCTGGTTTTCGGTAAGAGCGTTATGATCGAACCGGCACACCCATTTTATAATAACGCTGCCGCATACTCGTCTTTTCTTTAGCCGATGCTGAGGTCTAGCCTCATCGGACTGCTACAGCGTGAACAGAAAACTGGTGAGAACTAAATGAGTCAGGATACCATGGTGTAACGTAGACAGCAACCGTTTTTATGTAAATTGAACAGGCAATTAAAAAAAAGGTTTTGAAATGTTCTGAGAAATTGTTGGTTTATAGCACAAACATGTCAATCAAACTTTAAAAGATCACGTCATATGAAACCAACCTCGACATACTTTTGTGTTTTCAGTTCACGCATTTAGTTTCCCTTACCTCCAGTATAATGACCAGGCCTTGCAACGGCTTGGATCGGCCGGGAGCGTTCAATGCTGAGACGCACTATCGTTATTGAAAGCAGCATCCCACCTTTTGCGGCATATTTCAAAAACATATTTAAGTGGAAACTCAGGACCAGTTGCATCTAAAAAACAACACAGATTAGTGCCACTGTAGCATCAAGACATGATAAGGTCATTGATTTAGCACATTTTCGAACCGAATAACATTGTCTATGCTTTTTAACAGCACTACTAGGCGCCAAATGACCACTGCAATCAGTGTGCCCAAAAACCCCAATAAACAAGCTTGACACCTTCAATGGTGCGGATCAAAGAACATTTGTGGTCGGCGCAGCGGGCGACGGGGGCCTGTTGCCGAGAAGGGCAACGGTTGCAGTTTGAACCAGTGCGTTCAAACTGCAACACTGTGAGCCATGTCACACTTTCACTCTCGAAGCCAAAGTGCGCCTCGAAAAGAGTCACTGTGCCCGACGTAAAAGGTGATAAATCAAAGCCATATTATAACATTTCGTTGAATTTACGGCATAGTAGATTCAATTTAGCATAGTTGTTGTCCAGAGTGTTACAAGCTTTTGCAGCCTTTCTTACACAAGCATTTTGACAAAGTGGTATTATGCAAACATTACAGAACAGAGACACGCTGGAAAAGGCAAGACAAATTGAATTACTTTCGAAGTGATGAGCAAGCAGTACAAAGAGACTTCTCCCACTGGAGCAGCTACTTCAGATCAAACTCTGAGCTATTCAGAGGGATTTGGAGAAAACTGGTATTATTGACTGAATTGTAAGCGTTTGACCTTAAGTTCATAAAGGTATCATACTCCCTGTAACGGCAACAGACAAATCAAAACAAACAACAAAAGTTACAGATCATCAAAAATGACAAAATAACAACACCAAACAAATCACCAGCTTTAACCTTGCGGTCTCTCGAGCCGAGTGGAGGAGAAAGCAGCAATGGAGATCGTAATTATCAATCCCCACCCTTTCTACGACATTTTCTTGTACTTGACAGAGAATATCACGACCCCCCTGGCATGACTTCTGACCGATAACGTGTTGCTAATGCTTCTCTCTGCTGACAGTGCTACTTCGGACGCAACGTTACCTGCGATCGGGCTGGTCGGTGGACCGAGGTCGTCACAGAAATGGGGATATGTCAGACCTTCCAAACCAGTAAGTGTGTCCACAACAATATTTCCACTTCTTTTTCATTACTATCATTTTTGTCACGCTATTATCGTTGTCTCTTCTTAGTTCTTGCATTCTTTTCGTTTTGTCTTCCGTCTCAGTTTCCCGTGCTTTTTCTATCTATCATTATCTGTCCTTATACGCACATTTCCTCCATCCCCATGCCCTTTTCCTTTCACCGCACTCGCTTTTTTCCTCTCTCAACCCGTTGCGCATGAAATCACTCTCGGACCGCGCAGTGTTGTGTCAGGTAACACACACACAGCCCGGGGCCGCAATAAACGCAGGTCATTTCGGTGCGGCGCCAGCCACAGTCCGACATTTCACCTCTTCGGGCGATGTTGGGAGATCAGCACGCAGGCCCGGAGCCAAACTGCTTGTTGAAGAACGAGGCCGTGTGTTATGATGCCTTCCGATGCGCATTAACGTGATGGAATCTTTTTGCTGTCATCAACTCGATGAACTGAAAATATGTTCCGATGATGCGGCCAGGCCTGTTTTGTGATGTGCGAATGCGCCGTTGCTATCCCCTAAAAGCCTTTTTGATGCCAATACAACGTAGTCATGTGGCCCAAACAGAGTCCTGCCGGGCGGACGAAGACAAATCGAACTGAAACTATTGGAAGAGAGACGGGTCAAAATGATAGTGGTGGGGTACACTTTACAATCTGTTCATGTTTTGCCCCATTTACAGACCTTCTGAGTTAGAGAATTAAAGGTCCTGGTTCCTAACATTTTGTGGTGGCATCGCGTTTTCTCCAGCTGAATGCCAGTCGTGTCGTTTCAAAACCGTTTTGTCATTTCAGATGAGCCTGTCAAGACCAGTGGCCATTTTAATCATCTCTACTTGGTGCTCAACGATAAGCAACAGAAGTTCAGAGGCGAGGAAGGTTAGATACATGAAGTGGTAATATGTCTTAACAGTTTCTAGTTATGACTTGTTAGAACTTGACTGAAACACATTCTGCGCAAGACATGTGTGGCCGCCACGGACTGAGGTGTTGTTTATGTCTTACGAACTGCGACACAGAGTGGCGTTACAGACTTTGGGCACTTCATACCCACCCAATCGTGCTGTTGCGCCTGCTACAATTCTCAGTGTGACTTCAGAAATGTTGGTTGGCATGGAGCTTACCTCAACGTTTAGCGCGCCAGTCATGCGATGCGGAAAAACATGTGAAATTAGTGCGAGAAGACTGGGAAATCTTAAGTTACCTTCTCGCAGCACTCCGAACCACATATTACCGAAATACAACAATAATGTAGTTTGATCCCAGTGTTTACAAGATATTGCTGTTTCAACTTACGCCTACAACTGCGACCGAAGAACTCAAATAAAGGTACTTGTCTTTGGCGCCCACACAGGCTTTCCCGTGGGTTCAGCTTCTCCCCACGCCGCATCGCTTGATAACAGGGTGGGGTAGTTATCCTCAAAGGTTGTGTTGTTCACTATGATGGGGATAATGATCCTGACCTTCGACAAACAGGCAATTTCTCTGCGTCACTGGACAATGGCTACTTGACTTCCCTTGTTCCCCTGCCTCTTGGAGAAAAACTACTTGCAGACACAAACTCTTGCAGAACACCAAAAATGGCGTAGGGAAACGGTATAGTTGTATAAGATTAGTGGCACTTAGATACCATCTGTGCAAGTCAACTTTGGTGGGCCAGAAAAAGTTCAACAGGGTAAAATTAGTGAGTGCAAGTATTTTTCATCTTCAGAACCATGAGCGGTACGGCACTGGGGAAATCGTTGTTGTATGCTTCGCGGACCACTGAATCTTGCTCTGATTTGAACCGGTCAAGGTGTGTAACTTATGCCATATCAAGCCAGGTCTCAAACGCATAAATTCTCCTCAGAATATTGAATGGTATTAAATCCACACATCTGCACTATGATATATTGCAAGAACATACTATAAACGAATTTACTGCAATTATTTTACAACTAGTATCCTTCGACAAAGTTATCAAGTGCCTGATCTCGGAATATGACCGGCATGATCTCGTAGATATATTTTAATTGGTGATACATGGAAACCATGGCTTTTAAGTTTACGGACTAGTTACAAATGAAAACGCGTTGCTCGGGTTTGGGTCAATTTGACCCCCGAAGGTTTTTTTTATAATAACTCCAAACGGGGTCATATGACTCCGCCTCACTTGTGTAGCTGTAGATAACCGAAATAGCCGATAGTTTGGTATAGACAAATATATTTACCTTGTAAGGGTCGCTGACCTACGGTAGGTCAAAGCCTTCCGTAGGCATTGCATGGCTGTCAGCTAAGGAAATTCCTGGGAACTCGTTTTGGTCCGATGCGACAATCGAATGTTACACGAAGCCGTGCATCTCCTATTTGCCTAGTCGTGATTTCCCTATTTGAACGTCATGAGGATCAGAGGAGATCATGCCTAAAATAACTCTTATCAATGTCTGTTTTTTTGGAACATACAACCTAGTGCAGTCTTTGACGCTTATTTAAATGCAAAAATCAAAACAGTCTCCGAGTTTTTTGGTCACCTTGACGTTCTGAGGGCAGATGAGGGTCACTGAGCTGAAATGAACGCCAGTGACCTTTTGCTTATAAGAGCTATGTAGGTTAAAGATAACTGCATAATGCGATCGGAGGACACTTCGAACTCCATCAATAGTACGACCTTGTTTGCCATTATTGGGCCGAAAGTCATGAAATAAGAATCTAATGATCTGAATCATTGAGCTCATATAATAATTTCCTACGCTGTGGATTTCGTGTCTCTAGCTGTCTTAGTTTTTGAGAGCTCATGGAAGGCCAGGTCGACCCCTTCCGAGCGTGTCGTACTCAACGGCCACCCCAAGGCCGGTTGAAATTGCTGAAAACGCGGAAAAGGTCCTAGAAATTTCAGCAGCATAGATGAGAAGCTCTATATTTCGTACGAGGTGTTTTTTTTTATTCAGCTACTCCAGCTTTGATGATCCAGAATGACCTGGCCCTTCGCCACTTGACGATATTGTTTCCCATATAGTCTGAAAAATTGGGCTCACCCCAAGTATCGTGAAGCTACAACGCGGCTAGACAATTCTGGCCCATCAAGGCTGGAGAAGCTGAATAAAGAACAACTTCATACAAACATTAGCACTCTCAGCTAGAAGAGCCACCCTATCATTCTCAAGTCGCTTTCTGAAAATTTCCGGGGAGCGGGATCTCTGGCCCTTTTCTTTCAGGGAGGCCTAATGTGGTTGCTGTTGATGAAGGTGACGCCGGCGGTTGCGTTGCTGATGGCAGTGGTGATAAGGATGTTGGCAAAGGTGGGGATGATGACAACAGTGACCAGGACCGCGGCGATTGTGGGGTGCTGGTGCTGACGGCAGGGTTCCGCGTGCTGATCCACGACCCGGCCGACGACCCGCGTCTGATGGTGCGCACGCACGGCAGCTCCATCGTGCAGCGGCACGGCCGAGACGTCAGGATGGTGCTCAAGGAGGTAGGTCTCAGGCACCTCTTGAGAAGCGCGCAGGCCGCAGCACGCACGCTCTTAACGCAAACCAAGGGCCGGGACGTCAGGATGGTGCTCAAGGAGGTAGGTCTCAGGCACCGCTGGAGAAGCGCGCAGGCCGCAGCACGCACGCTCATAACACCGATCACGGGCCAGAAACATCTAGGCGGGGGGGGGGGGGGGGGGTTAGCATGCAAAGCACAAATTATGGAGCACTTGACTGACACATTCTTGGTAAAGCTGACTTGAGGGTTTGAAACATTTGCAGTTCTAATGAGGCTACATAGTTCATACCATGTCCAGACTTCAGTCGATGCTGGCTTTTATAACGGTGACCAAGTGTGCGTTAGTGTGATCAGTCTGCGCATGCGCCTGCCGTGTCCCATGCGATACGCCAGCGAAGCCATGCATCTTTGCATCTTTCCATGTACATGCTTTTCCACATCCATACCCTGTGCCCTGCTTTTCATGTCTGTACCACTGATCACTGGGCTTTAGTGGTACCAGTTAATGTTTACCAGTGATTGGTTTATGTATGCTCTCCTGTATTTCTAGCAGGGTCAAAGTCATGTAACCTGATTGTGGTCTAACAGGCTCACAATAGTTTAATAGTCTCATAATATTCTTAAAGTCTCAAAATAGCATAAAAGTCTCAAAATAGTATAAAAGTCTCATGATAGTCAACTAACTCATGTGGTCTCATGGAAGTCTTCTTTTTTAGCAATGTCTGCCCGCCCGTCCGTCCGTCCGTCCATCCGTCCACTGGTCCATTCATCCGTCCGACCGGTCGTCCGTCCGTCCGTCCATCCGTCCACTGGTCCATTCATCCGTCCGACCGGTCGCCCGTCCGTCCGTCCATCCGTCCACTGGTCCATTCATCCGTCCGACCGGTCGTCCGTCCGTCCGTCCATCCGTCCACTGGTCCATTCATCCGTCCGACCGGTCGTCCGTCCGTCCGAGTCAGCGTGACGTCCCGGTTGCCCCTTCCGTCGCCGAAGACGTAGCTTCCTCGGGCAGTGAAGCGAACGAGAGTCGCTCGTTTTAAACAAGCGGCTTCCTTGTATGAAACCAAAGTCCATAGCAAACAACTTCTGAAAACTGGGACTCGCGGCCCACTTTGTTTGGAGCGGTCGTTTCTGTGAACTCCTTTGTGTCCAGTCTCGCGGGTAACTCACATTTCCGGCTCGCAGTTCAAGGCAATACCCAGCCGAGAGTACTTCTGCAAAGACCGCGAAGACAAGTACTCCCACATTGGATGCGAAGCCAACTGTTTCAACCGTATTCTGCACAGCGAAGTGGGCTGTCTGCTGCCCTTCATGACCCACACCCCGGGTAAGTCACTTCGCCTCGAGGAAAGTGGTGCAGCACAACTTTCAACTCGTCTACGCGCGTCACTTCAGTCCAGTGGCACAGGCATGAGGGGGGGGGGGGGGGGAGCGCAGGGGACACGTCCACTCCTCCTCCCTTGGGTCTCGAGGGGCCCTGCGGACCCCTCGGGACCTACATTTAAGGGCCCAATTTGGGGGCCCGGTGGGCCTGAAAGGCCAACCTAAGGCCGCCTTCAGGGGTCCAGCCCGCAGGGCCGGTACCTCAGTGCCATCCAGAGGGTCCTGCGCGCTGCTCAGGGCCCCCCTGAGTGGATAAGGGCCTATATGCCGGTCAGACACCATCAACTACGCATAGTCGGCTACGTGTCGGCATGGGCCTGAGGGCCCATTCCCCAAGCAGGTACAAAGCAGGAGCCAGCGATTTACATTTTTCGGGGCCCGAGAAAAGCTCAAAAATACCAAATATCTTGAAGTAGAGGCGGATCTAGAGGATAGGCGTAGGGTCATGCTCCCCCCCCCCCCCTCCACACACCCGTGAGCCCGATAAAGTTTTTGGTGCCTCATCGGGGCACTAAAGCCTCGTGATGAAGAGGCACCAAAACCTTCATTGCGTGATGCATCGTAACCGTTGTTTTCAAAACGCAACAACTTCCAGCAGCACCAAGAAAAACCGAAATCTTCATTTTTGACAGCCATTAAATTCCAGTGACACCATAATGTCCATGCCGTTTCCATTGGCGAAATTCTGAATCGGCCTGTTTAGTGAGCGAGCAAAAAGTCCTTTATTAGGGGCATAATGATCTTTATTTTGAAAAAGCGTCCAGTTCCAGAGAGCATCACAAAGAGCCCCGACCCTTCATTGGCAAGGGGCATCAAATTCCAAGGGAATAACAATGATGTACCGCACACCCTGATGAAATCCTCGATTGGACCCTTGGGCGGGCATCACCAAAACCTTAAATGTGGCGCACCATAGCTCTTATTTTTTAGGAGACACCGAATCCAGTAAGGCCATTTAAAGGGTCCAACACCATCATTTTACAATGAAACTAAAATCCAAGAGTGCCAAAAGTTCCGTGCATTTTATTCTACCATGCACCCATCTTGCCACCCATTTCCCAATCAGGTGAAGCACCCAATCCCAGGAAGCACCACAATGGCCCCAAAAACCATCATTTTCAAAGACAAACCATCCAAAGGGACACCGCAATGCCCGTCTTTGTCCATTCACGAAATCCTGGATTCGCCCATTCGGCGAAGGGCATCAAAGCCTTCCCAGGCTGCCAAATTCTGGCCATCTCACTACTGGCAGACCGCAACCAGCTAGCAATAAAATTTAAAAGCTTAGTTCGACCAGAAAGGCCGTGTAGTCCAAAGAGCGATGTACAATGGGGCCGGCGATGCTCTAACAATGGCATCGTTCGCACGTGACCGAACCCGCCACGCACGACTTAAAGTGTCTTACATTGTACGGCGTAACTTTCAAATCGCCGCTGCGGCAACACCGCACTCTGCGTTCGTGGTTTTAAGTACCTTTTTAGAGCCGCCGGATTTTGGTCATAACGCTAAAGGCAAGCCTGACGCAGTTAGCAATGCGCTGGCAGTGCTTTATTCGAACTAAAAAGGTCATGGCGGCCGATGAGCGACTTAGGTCGACGGCAGATAACTCCGGGAATAGCATAGTAAGCGCATGGTCGCACCAGCAGAGGGTGCGACCATGCGCGTACTATGTTGTGAGCAGCGGCTGCTCACGACTTAGAGTATGTCGAACTGGACGCCATAGCTTTGCAAGTTGTCGCTGCGGTCGGTCCACCAGCAGTCAGTGCGGCGCTGCCGGGGCGCCGGCCGGATCAAATGGACGTACAATACTGACAAGTGTGTTGTACCGGCAGCACATGCCCCAGCGCTGTCCAATGCACACAGTTGCACTCTTCGATCAAGGTCATAACTTTTTTCCCTCGAGCCGTCGTATTCTGGCCATCGCGCCCCGGGCAGTTTGGCCAATTCATACAATGCACAGTCGAGGGGTGATTTGAAAAAGACTGAAAACAGACACGTCGATTGATAATCTATATTACTGACAGGTAGCGCCCACACAGTGGCATCGTGTGCATACGCCGATGCCATTGTGTGGACCGAGCCCTTATACGCCGAGCCCTTACTCACTATTTGAGATTGGACACCTCGAAGGGAGGATCCCACCTTTTTTGTACTTTTTACTTATTGTTGCATCGAACGCGTACAATTTGATCAGCAATACCAGTTTCCTCGAAATCCTCTTGAAAAGCTCAGAAGTTGATTTTAAGTAGCCGACCCTTGCGGTGAGAAATTGTATTGGACTCCTTGCTCACCACCACGAAAAAAATGCATTTCATTTGCCTTGCTTTTTAATGTGTGTGTTCTGTGATGTTTACAACACACTAATGTTTCAAAATGTTTGTACAATAAGTACTCCGAAAGCTTGAAGCACTCTATTTGGACCAAAATCTGCGCTAAACTGAAGCTATGATCCCGCGGATGCAGCGAACGTTATACTATGGCTTTCATTTCTCCCCTCTGGCGTTTACCTCAGTGGCTCTTTTCGAGGTGCACTTTGGCTCTGGGAATGAGGGTGTCACACAATTCATATGACGCGCTGATGAAAACTTCAACCAATGCGCCCCTCGGCAACAGACCCTTGCTTACTGAGCCAGTTTATTTTATTCGTACCTGGAAAGGTGCGCATGGTGGTCATCATGACGACTGTAGCCCCGATTGCAGAGAAGAAGCGTAGTGCTGTTATAAAGCGTCGAGAGTGTAATTTGTACCGAAACATAATGCAAATTGGTATCCCTTTTATGTCTTACCGGTGCTGCAATAACAGTACCCGGTGCTGTTTTTAGACTTAACTAGTCCTGAGCTTTCATTAGAGTGTGTTTTTGAAATATGCCACAAAAGTGGGACACTTAACCTTGACTTTGAAAATCGCCGCTGCGGCAGTCCCACCAGTATTGAGTGAGACGCTGGCGGGAATCAGTCGAAGAAGACGCATATCTTAATCTGGCAAATGCGTTCTACTGGGGGCTGACTGCCCTATAGCATGGCTGTCGAATGCACATCGTCAGGATGATGACAAGCATCTTGCTGTATTCTGGCCATCAATATGCCAAACTGCAATAACTATGACTGTAACTGTAACATCACGCTACAGGCAGGCCGCGCGCACTGAGCAACGCGCCTTCCACGCATTATAAAGGACCATGTTAAGCGAACAAGACCGTGCCGTTGTCAAAGGATACACTGGGTATCGTTTTTTTCTTCGTAAGACTTGCGGGCGCGCATGCTGAAGGCTTTGTTAAATAATCTATCCGTGACTTGATTCTGAATGAGGTTGAACATTTCCAGACTGGCATGGGCTTACATTCACGTTATTTTTGATGTCTCTGTGGAACCCTGAGGAATTCTGGCAATACCCCTGAGTGTTACCAGCTTCGAAAGAGTTTACCAAACTGCCTGTTGCAAAATGAATTGCGCTGGCGGTTTTCCATACAGTCACTTAACGCCTTCCTCCTACAGCTTAATTATTTCAAAATGAAAATAGAATCGGGTCTCTTGGTGACTTCTGGCTTTTGGTACAGCTAAAGAAAGCACACATTAAAATGAAAGGATGAAAGTCGCGTCCCATGACAATTAAGTTTGCTAACGTGGCGATTTTTTGAGGAGAGTGTTCACCATTAGGGGTCCCTTGTCAACCGTGTGCCTCCTTCCCCATCCCCCCCATCATCAAGACTCAGCCCATCCATATATCTAATATCACTGAGCTAGAACGCCATCTCGACGCCGCTCCGACCCCGCATGGTACGCTCGCAGGCCTACAGGGTGCTGCCATCTGCAACACCACCAAGCAGTACCGCAACGCCATCTTGCACAAGCAGTACCTGCTGCACAGCGGCGGCTGGAACGCGCAGGACAACTGCACGTGCGAGCGCAAGTGTCACGAGTTCGAGTATCTGCTGTTCGCCGAGACGGGCGAGATCAGCGACTCGCGCGCGCGTCTCCGTGTCTTCTATCAGGTCAGTGCGGCAGGTCACTCCTGGACCTCTAACAGGTCAACGGCCGTTTAACCCTCTTCCTGATTCGCCGCTTTTCATCGCACTGAGTGATAGGATGGGCAGTGCGCTTCCCTGCCGCCTCCAGACTAAGACCCATAGGGAACTGCAAAAAGCAGCACCAGTGGATTGGCCTCAACAGATGTTGCAATTGGTGCACAATTTTGGGTCGCTAGGTCAATGACTGACACAACTAGGCCAGCTTAAATGCCACCTCTCCGATTATCAGATTATTTCAGCTTTCAATGTCAATATTTCCCTGTTGTGTGGCGACGAAACGCCTCATTGTCGTAAATTCAATGCACCGTTGACAGTTTGTCAAGTGCTTTATTCGTCATCACATTTCAAGGAAGAACGATTGCATCATTTTGGGCGGCATGCGTCATGTTTGACTTATTGCAACATGCTAGGAGGCGGCTCTTTATTGTTGCACTCCAGTCAGCTGTTTCTCTTTCTAAGAGAGACATCCAGTTTTCAGCTGTATTGGCTCATTGACGCTTAAAAAACAACACAACCCTACAACAACACAACCCACAACCGCCGTTACGGGCGCAATGTGACCTTTGATGTCGACGTGTCCTGAAGTCTCAAATCATCATCATCAATGCCAATATTTACCACAGCGTGTCACTACGTAGCACGAAATTTACACAGATATACTTTTTCTTTGATATGGGCGCATGGGTATGCAGTTAGTGTGATTTGAACATACACTTATGATGTAGAGCTCATTCGATATGACAGTGTTGTCTCCAACGCCTGCTAATCGGTGAATCCGTCCATTGCCACCCTCTGCTCGCCCTGGTCGTAGATCACCGTGCAGTTCTCCTAACCAATGTTGCTACTCAGAAACCAGAAAAGTATACATACGGCTTTGGTATCCAAACACGCACAATTCTGTGTACACTGTGTGCCGAAAATTTGGGCGCAATCACACGACATGCCGGTGAGATATCCTCAGCAGACCTGAGAAGGAGCGCGTGAGGCACATCAGTTCTCTTTATCAGGGCAAGGGTTAAACTACAGTAAGGTTAGGATTCTGCGCTTACTTCCGTCACCTTTGGGACTTTTGGTAATTGTAACACATACCATGCGTTAGGTACGTTCATGTCGTTGTGCTCTTATCTCCGCTTGACGGTCAGAACCCAATGTGTCCGCATCGCGCAAAGCAGTGCGTTGTTTGAGTGGAACACTCCAACGTGACAGACCCTCTGTTGCTGGGGCACTTACAGCTGCTGGATTATGGTACTGATTGACGTCCATGCTGGCCTGAGCCTTTAAACATCAAAAGTGCCGCCTCGCACTGGGTCGTCACCACCGCTGTTGATGTCTGCCGCGGCGGGAATCGGAACTCAGGACCCTCAACCTCAGCATCACACCTCCAAGACTTGACCAAGCAGGCGCACACGTCGGCAGGATCTCTACTACGAGAACGTGGGTGGAGTCGCTGGCATACCCATGATTCCGCTGCTCTGTGACCTGGGCGGCGCGCGGGGCTTGATTGCTGGGCGCCTCCTCCTCACCTTCTTCGAAGATAGGGGAGGCGGCGACGATGTACGCCTACCAGTGGCCCGGTGTCGACAGAAGAAGGTGAGACCTGGCCGTGTACGCCTACCAGGGCAACCGTGTGTCGACAAGAAGGAAGGTGAGACCTCGACGATGTACAGACTACCAGTGGCACCGGTTGTCGACAGAAGAAGGTGAGACCTGCCGATGTACGCTACCGGTGGTACCGGTGTCGAAGAAGAAGGTGAGACCTGGCCGATGTACGCTTACCACTGGTACCGATGTCGACAGAAAAGGAGGCTTGGCAGGTGTACGACTACAGTGGTCCGGTGCGACAGGAGAAGGTGAGGCCGGCCGATGTAGCCTACCAGTGGTACCAGTGCCGAGGAAGAAGGTGAGGAAGATGTTTTATTTCACGTGTTTGTCCTGAGCCGAAACTCTTCGGATTAAGATGATGCCATCATGAAGGGATAGCCCGCTCACTCAATTAAAAAAAGAAACATGCTAAGGCCAAAGTTTTGCAAAGTTATTGCATCGTTAAGGCAAGAGCTCGGTAAAAATGAAGGATATTAAACGAATCAAGATGCTGTAGCAACACCTTTTCGTATTTTAAAGAACACCG